CACTACCAGACAAGTATTAGTCAAGTGTACATTGATCATTGGAGGGGGTGAAGTGTAATCTCATTGTGGAGGGGAGTATAGGAGCCAGAGCAGGAGCTAATCATGGACCATGAGGGAGAATGGTGACTGAACATGGATGGGGGATAGGGGAAGAGGAATGGTGACCAAACATGTTTGTTTGGGGGAAGAAGAATGGTGACCAAACATGGATGGGGGAAGAAGAATGGTGACAGAACATGAATGGGGACAGAGAAGAAGAAGAATGGTTACAGAACATGGATGGGGAATAGGGGAAGAAGAATGGTGACAGAACATGGATGGGGGAAGAAGAATGGTGACAGAACATGAATGGGGACAGAGAAGAAGAAGAATGGTTACAGAACATGGATGGGGTAATAGGGGAAGAAGAATGGTTACAGAACATGGATGGGGTAATAGGGGAAGAAGAATGGTTACAGAACATGGATGGGGTAATAGGGGAAGAAGAATGGTGACAGAACATGGATGGGGAATAGGGGAAGAAGAATGGTGACAGAACATGGATGGGGAATAGGGGAAGAAGAATGGTGACTGAGCACGAATGGGGGTTGGGGGAAGAAGAATGGTGACAGAACATGGATGGGGTAATAGGGGAAGAAGAATGGTGACTGAGCATGAATGTGGGGAAGAGAAGAAGAATGGTGACCAAACATGGATGGGGGGTTGGGGGAAGAAGAATGGTGACCAAACATGGATGGGGGGTTGGGGGAAGAAGAATGGTGACTGGACAGGGCAGAAAAGAAGAAGAAGAATGGTGACCAAACATGGACGGGGGGAGGGATAAGGGAAGAACGAATGGTGGTGTCATGTGGACTGGAAGGACATGAAGGAGGCAGTGGGGAAACTATTTATGGCAAACAGTGATGAGAGAAGTGACAGCTGACCATGTTACGTTGGGGGAGAAGGGAAAGGAAGAGCGGGACCAGGGAAGAAATTTGGAGTAGAGTGTGAGCCGATCAAGTATTGAGTAAGAGAGAAGAGGCAGAAAGTAGACGATCATGGCACCATGGATGGTGAAGAGAGAGAAAGCAGTGTTATTGAAGAGGGAAAAGAGAAGGTAGAATGATCACGGACAGGTGGAAGTGGAGAAGATGATTGTGGACAGAGGAAGCAGAGCAAGTTTCTGAGCAGTGGAGGTGAGAGAGGAAGGACGCCTGATCATGGTTGATAAACCATTTATTGGCCAACTTATTAAACCTGAAAGCTTACAGGAATCGTGACATCACTTCATCAGACTTCATACATTGTAATATTGTATACAACACCATAGAAGAATGCACGATGGGGAAGAAGCAAGTACAAGCTGCAGTTCTAATAATTGCCACAAGGAAATGGTCTCATGTACTATGGTTGGAACGCGCGCACACAGGAAGCCATACAACAAGCAGACAGGAAGTGATGTCACATATAAATAGGAAGTTTTGGGTGAGAGGTGAGTTGGGAGGAAGTAGAGAGGAGACATTGCTGGGACTGGCAGAAGAGGAGGTAATAAGATATTTTATATTTACATTTATCCAACTGTCCATCCAGAGCCGCCATTTATAGACCGGATACATCCTAAATATAGAGCCATTTATCCAACTGTCCATCCAGAGCCGCCATTTATAGACCGGATACATCCTAAATATAGATCCATTTATCCAACTGTCCACCCAGAGCCGCCATTTATAGACCGGATACATCCTAAATATAGAGCCATTTATCCAACTGTCCATCCAGAGCTGCCATTTATAGACCGGATACATCCTAAATATAGATCCATTTATCCAACTGTCCATCCAGAGTGAAGAAGAATGGTTACAGAACATGGATGGGGTAATAGGGGAAGAAGAATGGTTACAGAACATGGATGGGGTAATAGGGGAAGAAGAATGGTTACAGAACATGGATGGGGTAATAGGGGAAGAAGAATGGTGACAGAACATGGATGGGGAATAGGGGAAGAAGAATGGTGACAGAACATGGATGGGGAATAGGGGAAGAAGAATGGTGACTGAGCACGAATGGGGGTTGGGGGAAGAAGAATGGTGACAGAACATGGATGGGGAATAGGGGAAGAAGAATGGTGACTGAGCACGAATGGGGGTTGGGGGAAGAAGAATGGTGACAGAACATGGATGGGGTAATAGGGGAAGAAGAATGGTGACTGAGCATGAATGTGGGGAAGAGAAGAAGAATGGTGACCAAACATGGATGGGGGGTTGGGGGAAGAAGAATGGTGACCAAACATGGATGGGGGGTTGGGGGAAGAAGAATGGTGACTGGACAGGGCAGAAAAGAAGAAGAAGAATGGTGACCAAACATGGACGGGGGGAGGGATAAGGGAAGAACGAATGGTGGTGTCATGTGGACTGGAAGGACATGAAGGAGGCAGTGGGGAAACTATTTATGGCAAACAGTGATGAGAGAAGTGACAGCTGACCATGTTACGTTGGGGGAGAAGGGAAAGGAAGAGCGGGACCAGGGAAGAAATTTGGAGTAGAGTGTGAGCCGATCAAGTATTGAGTAAGAGAGAAGAGGCAGAAAGTAGACGATCATGGCACCATGGATGGTGAAGAGAGAGAAAGCAGTGTTATTGAAGAGGGAAAAGAGAAGGTAGAATGATCACGGACAGGTGGAAGTGGAGAAGATGATTGTGGACAGAGGAAGCAGAGCAAGTTTCTGAGCAGTGGAGGTGAGAGAGGAAGGACGCCTGATCATGGTTGATAAACCATTTATTGGCCAACTTATTAAACCTGAAAGCTTACAGGAATCGTGACATCACTTCATCAGACTTCATACATTGTAATATTGTATACAACACCATAGAAGAATGCACGATGGGGAAGAAGCAAGTACAAGCTGCAGTTCTAATAATTGCCACAAGGAAATGGTCTCATGTACTATGGTTGGAACGCGCGCACACAGGAAGCCATACAACAAGCAGACAGGAAGTGATGTCACATATAAATAGGAAGTTTTGGGTGAGAGGTGAGTTGGGAGGAAGTAGAGAGGAGACATTGCTGGGACTGGCAGAAGAGGAGGTAATAAGATATTTTATATTTACATTTATCCAACTGTCCATCCAGAGCCGCCATTTATAGACCGGATACATCCTAAATATAGAGCCATTTATCCAACTGTCCATCCAGAGCCGCCATTTATAGACCGGATACATCCTAAATATAGATCCATTTATCCAACTGTCCACCCAGAGCCGCCATTTATAGACCGGATACATCCTAAATATAGAGCCATTTATCCAACTGTCCATCCAGAGCTGCCATTTATAGACCGGATACATCCTAAATATAGATCCATTTATCCAACTGTCCATCCAGAGCCGCCATTTATAGACCGGATACATCCTAAATATAGAGCCATTTATCCAACTGTCCATCCAGAGCTGCCATTTATAGACCGGATACATCCTAAATATAGAGCCATTTATCCAACTGTCCATCCAGAGCCGCCATTTATAGACCGGATACATCCTAAATATAGAGCCATTTATCCAACTGTCCATCCAGAGCCGCCATTTATAGACCGGATACATCCTAAATATAGAGCCATTTATCCAACTGTCCGTCCAGAGCTGCCATTTATAGACCAGATACATCCTAAATATAGAACTATGGCGGAACATCCAGTCCGGGTCATTCTCAGTTTATCTGTCTACAGAGAGGAGCGTCCTGAGTAGATCACATAACCATATCATTGAAAATGGATGAGGATCGGAGTCACATGAGACATGAGAGGATATTAGACCTCACCCTGGAGATCATCTACCTGCTGACCAGAGAGGTGAGGAGGATTCTGGGAGATCACATGACATCCTTCTTTTCTCTATTAATAAAACACACACGGGACCGGAGAGGTGAGGAGGATTCTGGGAAGTCTGTAGTGATAATTGTTACTTTCTGTCTTTACTCAGGATTATAAAGTAGTGAAGAAAACATCTGATGAGCCATTAACAGCCAACAGTGTCCTTTATGGGGCTTCACCCATCACAGAGCCTCCACCTCACTGCTGGACAACAGACGTAAACCATGCCAAGAAGATATTAGAAGTCACCGAGGAGATGATGGAGCTGCTGACAGGAGAGGTGAGCGGTGCCGGGAATTCTGGGACATGGTCCAGGAACAGACAAGGGGTGTGTCTGGGTGGTGACTGTATCATTGTGTGTGTCAGGTTCCTATAAGGTGTCAGGATGTCTCTGTCTATTTCTCCATGGAGGAGTGGGAGTATCTAGAAGGACACCGGCATCTCTACAAGGACATCATGATGGAGGATCAACAGCTTTTCAATGATGTGAAAATGATAAAAAACAATCTCGTCCTCGATAAGAGGATATTAAACCTCACCCTGAAGATCATCTATCTGCTGACTGGAGAGGTAAGGAGGATTCTGGGAATTACCTTTATTAATAAAACAGAGAACTGACCTGATCGGTGAGGAGGATTCTGGTATTCTAATATGAATTGCTGTATATTTTACAGGATTGTTCTGTAGTTACGAAGACATCTGTTGAGAATAATTCCAAAAGGAGAAGTCACCGCTTGTCCTCAAGACAAAGAGAAGGACAAATGACTCCCCTCTTAACCCTAAAGAAAAATAACGAGCAGAAGATTCTCAAAGTCACCCAGAAGATCATTGAGTTCCTGACGGGAGAGGTGAGCGGTGCCGGGAATTCTGGGACATGATCCAGGAACAGACAAGGGGTGTGTCTGGGTGGTGACTGTATCATTGTGTGTGTCAGGTTCCTATAAGGTGTCAGGATGTCTCTGTCTATCTCTCCATGGAGGAGTGGGAGTATCTAGAAGGACACCGGGATCTCTACAAGGACGTCGAGATGGAGGATCAGACGCCCCTCACATCACCGGGTAAGAGGAGAGGGCAGTACGGAGGGTCCATCTAGATCCCCCATCATCTGATACACACATAGAAACAATGTATTCAGTCAGTGTGTGTGTTTCCTACAGATGGATCCAGTAAGAGGAACCCACCAGAGAGATGTCCCCGTCCTCTGTATTCCCGGGATTCCACACAGGAAGATCTCACCGTCCCCCACCAGGATCAGGTAGATGGGTCTGAGAATGAAGACCTAAACACATAATCTGTACTGCATACACTGTGTAGTCGTTGGTTCTTTTTCCTTACTTTTCTTATTCCCAATCATTTTTGTTGTTTTAGGGGAAAGGCCTGATTAGTATGAAGGTTGAGGTTAAAAAGGAAAAAGAAGAGACGTTTGTGATGGGTGATCAGCAGTCTACGGGGAAGAGTGAGTTGATGGTGAGAACAGAAAACAAGAAGCGTTTTATGGATATGATTACAGGTATGTAACCATTTCTTTTGCCTTTAAAGTTGAGTAACATATTTATTTTACTTCTGTGCTTTTAAAGTAAGTAGTTTGACTTAAGGTGCTGAAGAATTTAAAGGCATTCATACTGTACACCATATGAAGGTCCATCTCCATTCCTCAATATAACGTCATGTGACCAACAAATGAGGAGGAGATACTGTACACCATATGAAGGTCCATCTCCATTCCTCAATATAACGTCATGTGACCAACAAATGAGGAGGAGATACTGTACACCATATGAAGGTCCATCTCCATTCCTCAATATAACGTCATGTGACCAACAAATGAGGAGGAGATACTGTACACCATATGAAGGTCCATCTCCATTCCTCAATATAACGTCATGTGACCAACAAATGAGGAGGAGATACTGTACACGATATGAAGGTCCATCTCCATTCCTCAATATAACGTCATGTGACCAACAAATGAGGAGGAGATACTGTACACCATATGAAGGTCCATCTCCATTCCTCAATATAACGTCATGTGACCTACAAATGAGGAGGAGATACTGTACACGATATGAAGGTCCATCTTCATTCCTCAATATAACGTCATGTGACCAACAAATGAGGAGGAGATACTATACACCATATGAAGGTCCATCTCCATTCCTCAATATAATTGAAAATTACTGTTAACATACATTTTAAAAATTGTTTTCCAACAGACGGGAACCAGAAGAGGAATTCCTCAGAGGGACATCTTAATTTTTCTCCAGATTCCAATGTAGAAGATAATACCATTCCAGGAAATTCTCCGATAGTAAATCCCACTACTCGGAATATTTCTCAGAGACCTCACCAGAGGTCAATGAATCCCTCTAAGGAGTCTTCTGATAAATCGCACACCAGGAATTCAGATATTCAGTGGAGATCTCACAAGAAAAGATCAACAAACCCATCGGACCCCAAGGAACGTTTAGATAATAAAGGAGATCATCTATTGTCATGTTTGGGGTGCGGGAAATCTTTTAAGACGAATTCTGAACTCCATAAACATCTCAGATCTCACACCAGTGTGGCCTTGACGTGTTTGGAGTGCGGGAAAACTTTCACTGAGGAAAACAAACTGTTTGCACACCAGGGATGTCACATGAAAGAGCAGACTTTAGATCCTTTCATATGTTGCCTGTGTGGGATATCTTTCACCGAAGAAGCAAACCTTGCTAGACACCAGAAAACTCACACGAATGACCGTCCTTTATCATGTTCCAGATGCGGGAAATGCTTCGTGAATAAAGCTGACCTTATTAGACACCAGAAAGTTCACATGGGGGAGCATCCTTTATCGTGTTCCGTGTGCGGGGCATGTTTCACCGAGAAAGATAACCTTAATAGACATCGGAAAATTCACATGGGTGTGCGTCCCTTTTCGTGTTCAGAGTGCGGTAAGACATTCATTCGGAAAGCACACCTCATTCAGCATCATAGCTGTCACAAGGTCGAGTGTCCCTATTTATGTCTAGAGTGTGGGAAATGCTTTGCTGAGAAAAGTGTGCTCCTATCCCACCAGAGAATTCACATCGGCATGCGTTTTCATCAGTGTCCAGTCTGTGGGATATATTTCACCGAGAAGAAAAGCCTTGTTTATCACCAGAAGTTTCACAAGCAAGAGGGTCCTTTTTCATGTTCAGAGTGCGGGAAAAGTTTTGCACGAAAAAGATATCTTACTAAGCATCAGGGAAGACACATAAGCTGATAAATGTATGACCGTTTCATACCACTATATGGCCAAAATGTATGTGTTCAGATGTCTCCAGTGAAGGGTACTGATAATGCTACAGCATACAGAGACGTGTGCTCTTCCAACCTTGTGGTAACAGTTTGGTGAAGGTCCTTTTATGTTCCACCATGACTGTCCCGTGTACCAAGCCAGCTCTATAAAGACCTGGTTTGACCAGTTTGGTGTGGAAGGACTCGAGTGTCATCCACAGCAAACTGCACAGAGCCCTGACCTCAACCCTACTGAAGACTTTTGGGGTGAATTGGAATGACTATTGTGAACCAGATGTCATCTAACATCAATAACTGACCTCAAATGGGCACACATTCCCACTGACACCCTCCAAAATCTTAAGTAAGGCCTTCCCAGAAGAGTGGAAATTGGCATAACTGTAAAGGATGGGGAATGGGTGACTTGTGGCAACTCCATATTATTGTCCATGGTTCTGGAATGGGATGTCCAACTAACTGATAGGTGTGATGGTCAGGTGTCTTCAAACTTCTGGCCGTAGTATTATCCATGGTTCTGGAATGGGATGTCCACCAATCTCATATAGGTGTGATGGTCAGGTTTCTTCAAACTTCTGGCCGTAGTATTATCCATGGTTCTGGAATGGGATGTCCACCAATCTCATATAGGTGTGATCATCAGGTGTCTTCAAACTTATGGCCGTAGTATTATCCATGGTTCTGGAATGGGATGTCCAACCAACTCATCGGTGTGATCATCAGGTGTCTTCAAACTTCTGGCCATAGTATTATCCATGGTTCTGGAATGGGATGTCCAACAATCTCATATAGGTGTGATGGTCAGGTGTCTTCAAACTTCTGGCCGTAGTATTATCCATGGTTCTGGAATGGGATGTCCAACAATCTCGTATAGGTGTGATGGTCAGGTGTCTTCAAACTTCTGGCCCTAGTATTATCCATGGTTCTGGAATGGGATGTCCAACAATCTCGTATAGGTGTGATGGTCAGGTGTCTTCAAACTTCTGGCCCTAGTATTATCCATGGTTCTGGAATGGGATGTCCAACAATCTCATATAGGTAGGATGATCAGGTGTCTTCAAACTTATGGCCATATTTGCCATAGTGCATTTCTTGGAGACCCTAGTGGTGAGATAGGCCACCTTGGGGTGTGCTGATTCTGTTTTCTTCTGCACTCTCAATAATATAACATCTAAAAAGTAGAGTGGGAGCCCCTCACAATGGCCACAGCAGGTATGTAGAACCGAGAACTCAAGAGCCGATACTGAGAATTTCCACTCGTACTTGTGAAAATGTCGATGATAAGCACTGACCCCGGCGCTTTACATATAGAAACTGAAGCCGGTGCTGTAAACAGGCGCCGTTTTCCAGCGACCTTCCTGTTAATCGCAGTGCCTGGTTACAGCACCGGCTGAAAATTTCCACGCGACCACGCAGCCCACCACAGACCACACACAGCCCACCACAGACCCTGCACTGCCAACCTGAGATCCCACACAAACCACCAAAGATCCTGCATTTCCCACCGTAGACCCTGCACAGCCCACCTGAGATCCCACACAGCCCACCATAGACCTTGCACTGCCCACCTGAGACCCCACACAAACCACCATAGATCCTGCATTTCCCACCGTTTCCATGGTTCTGGAATGGGATGTCCAACAATCTCATATAGGTGTTATGGTCAGGTGTCTTCAAACTTATGGCCGTAGTATTATCCATGGTTCTGGAATGGGATGTCCACCAATCTCATATAGGTGTGATCATCAGGTGTCTTCAAACTTAGGGCCATAGTATTATCCATGGTTCTGGAATGGGATGTCCAACAATCTCATATAGGTGTTATGGTCAGGTGTCTTCAAACTTATGGCCGTAGTATTATCCATGGTTCTGGAATGGGATGTCCACCAATCTCATATAGGTGTGATCATCAGGTGTCTTCAAACTTAGGGCCATAGTATTATCCATGGTTCTGGAATGGGATGTCCAACAATCTCATATAGGTGTGATGGTCAGGTGTCTTCAAACTTATGGCCGTAGTATTATCCATGGTTCTGGAATGGGATGTCCAACTAACTCATCGGTGTGATCATCAGGTGTCTTCAAACTTATGGCCGTAGTATTATCCATGGTTCTGGAATGGGATGTCCAACCAACTCATCGGTGTGATCATCAGGTGTCTTCAAACTTCTGGCCATAGTATTATCCATGGTTCTGGAATGGGATGTCCAACAATCTCATATAGGTGTGATGGTCAGGTGTCTTCAAACTTCTGGCCGTAGTATTATCCATGGTTCTGGAATGGGATGTCCAACAATCTCGTATAGGTGTGATGGTCAGGTGTCTTCAAACTTCTGGCCCTAGTATTATCCATGGTTCTGGAATGGGATGTCCAACAATCTCATATAGGTGTGATGGTCAGGTGTCTTCAAACTTATGGCCGTAGTATTATCCATGGTTCTGGAATGGGATGTCCAACAATCTCATATAGGTAGGATGATCAGGTGTCTTCAAACTTATGGCCATATTTGCCATAGTGCATTTCTTGGAGACCCTAGTGGTGAGATAGGCCACCTTGGGGTGTGCTGATTCTGTTTTCTTCTGCACTCTCAATAATATAACATCTAAAAAGTAGAGTGGGAGCCCCTCACAATGGCCACAGCAGGTATGTAGAACCGAGAACTCAAGAGCCGATACTGAGAATTTCCACTCGTACTTGTGAAAATGTCGATGATAAGCACTGACCCCGGCGCTTTACATATAGAAACTGAAGCCGGTGCTGTAAACAGGCGCCGTTTTCCAGCGACCTTCCTGTTAATCGCAGTGCCTGGTTACAGCACCGGCTGAAAATTTCCACGCGACCACGCAGCCCACCACAGACCACACACAGCCCACCACAGACCCTGCACTGCCAACCTGAGATCCCACACAAACCACCAAAGATCCTGCATTTCCCACCGTAGACCCTGCACAGCCCACCTGAGATCCCACACAGCCCACCATAGACCTTGCACTGCCCACCTGAGACCCCACACAAACCACCATAGATCCTGCATTTCCCACCGTAGACCCTGCGCAGCCCACCTGAGATCCCACACAGCCCACCATAGATCCTGCATTTCCCACCGTGGACCCTGCGCAGCCCACTTGAGACCCCACACAAACCACCATAGATCCTGCATTTCCCACCGTGGACCCTGCGCAGCCCACTTGAGACCCCACACAGCCCATCATATAGCCTGAACAGCCCACCTGAGACTCCACAGCCCACCATAGACCCTGCACAGCCCACCTGAGATCCCACACAGCCCACCATAGACCTTGCACTGCCCACCTGAGACCCCACACAAACCACCATAGATCCTGCATTTCCCACCGTAGACCCTACACAGCCCACCTCAGACCACACACAGCCAATCATATAGCCTGAACAGCCCACCTGGGACTCCACAGCCTACCATAGACCCTGCACAGCCTACCTGAGACCCCATACACCCTAGACAGTCCACCCGAGACCACACACAGCCTACTATACACCCTCAATAGCGCGTTTGAGACCGCACACAGCCCATCATACACAGTGGGCAGTCCACCTGAGACCCCAGACCGCCCATTATAGACCCCGCACAGCAACCTGAGTCCCCGCAGAGCCCACCATAGACACCACACTGCCACCTGAGAGTCTGCACAGCCCAGCCACCTAAGAGCTCGCACAGTCCACCATAGACCCCGCACATGCACCTGAGATCCTCCATGCACCTGAGATATGCAGCTTCATATCATTCTGCATTGCTGTATAATGCTGGGATTTGCAGTCCTCTCTAGCTGGTGTTATTCTGCATTGCTCTATAATTAATTGCTGGGATTTGTGGTCCTCTATAGCTGATAGTATTCTGCATTGCTATATAATGTATTGCTGGGATTTGTAGTCCTCTATAGCTGGTGGTATTCTGCATTGTTGTATAATGTATTGCTGGGATTTGTAGTCCCCTATAGCTGGTGGTATTCTGCATTGTTGTATAATGTATTGCTGGGATTTGTAGTCCCCTATAGCTGGTGGTATTCTGCATTGTTGTATAATGTATTGCTGGGATTTGTAGTCCCCTATAGCTGGTGGTATTCTGCATTGTTGTATAATGTATTGCTGGGATTTGTAGTCCCCTATAGCTGGTGGTATTCTGCATTGTTGTATAATGTATTGCTGGGATTTGTAGTCCCCTATAGCTGGTGGTATTCTGCATTGTTGTATAATGTATTGCTGGGATTTGTAGTCCCCTATAGCTGGTGGTATTCTGCATTGTTGTATAATGTATTGCTGGGATTTGTAGTCCCCTATAGCTGGTGGTATTCTGCATTGTTGTATAATGTATTGCTGGGATTTGTAGTCCCCTATAGCTGGTGGTATTCTGCATTGTTGTATAATGTATTGCTGGGATTTGTAGTCCCCTATAGCTGGTGGTATTCTGCATTGTTGTATAATGTATTGCTGGGATTTGTAGTCCCCTATAGCTGGTGGTATTCTGCATTGTTGTATAATGTATTGCTGGGATTTGTAGTCCCCTATAGCTGGTGGTATTCTGCATTGTTGTATAATGTATTGCTGGGATTTGTAGTCCCCTATAGCTGGTGGTATTCTGCATTGTTGTATAATGTATTGCTGGGATTTGTAGTCCCCTATAGCTGGTGGTATTCTGCATTGTTGTATAATGTATTGCTGGGATTTGTAGTCCCCTATAGCTGGTGGTATTCTGCATTGTTGTATAATGTATTGCTGGGATTTGTAGTCCCCTATAGCTGGTGGTATTCTGCATTGTTGTATAATGTATTGCTGGGATTTGTAGTCCCCTATAGCTGGTGGTATTCTGCATTGTTGTATAATGTATTGCTGGGATTTGTAGTCCCCTATAGCTGGTGGTATTCTGCATTGTTGTATAATGTATTGCTGGGATTTGTAGTCCCCTATAGCTGGTGGTATTCTGCATTGTTGTA